ATTTCTCAAGAGTTGTTGCAAAGCATCATTTCCTCCTACAAGATTGACTTTGCTGCCGATTTCTATCTGAAGCCACATTCGTTTGCGAATAGACGTACCGTTTAAATTCATTTAGGTCAGTCTCGCCTTTGATGCTGGCATCCCTATCCAATCCCATACAGTTTCAATTCAAGATCGACTGATAGGTTCGAAGCATACTTCTCACCCATTTAGTAATATCATCAATTGTAATGGAAACTAAAAGTTTGCTTTATCGTAAATAAACTCATTACATATTGGAAGAGGCCTGGCTTTTGGGGGTCACATCTGCCCCGTAACCCATTGGCATACAATGTTGTGTAGTTGAGTGGCAATGTTGCTTCGTTACACGCAACTTTGTTTCGAATTGCTTTGGAGGTGCTCATAAGGACTAGATGAATTCAAAATTGAAGTTAATTCTGAGCCATTAACTCTTTTGTAGGCAATCTAATAGATCTAGGCGAGTCCTTCAGATGGCTTCCCAGGATTTAGTTTATATTATGATCCAATAAAACACTACAAAATTACACTCCTTGATAAGGAGGAAAACCAGTTTACACGAATAACTGGCAATGACCCTTAGCTCGGAAGATTTATTTAAACTACAAAGAATGGCGGACAGGTTGTATGATATTGTTTTTCAACAGGTTAGATTCTGATATCATAAGAAACATGGGAATTCGGGTTTAGGAATCAGGACAAAGGCTGATCAAAATACGTCTATGAGTGACAGTAGTGTGCAACGCATAGTTGGGGAGAAAGTGGAAGATCTCTTCAAACAGCCTTGGGCTTTACCACCGAGAAAGTGCTCTCGAAAGGTTTAGACTTTGATTTGCCTAACAATGAGGATAATAGGGAGGAGATTCTGGCGGAACTCTTAGGTTTTACCGACCATCTTCCAGAAGAGACTAGGAGTGATGTAGAATTACAGTTCGTTCCTTTAGTTGATAGCCATGCAGAAGTAACACCAAGGCACAAGAGAGTGAAAAGCATCATGAGGAAACTGGACGATGAGGACAAACTGGTGTTGAGGTCAGACAAATGAGGAGTGGTAGTAGTTATGGTTATATTGAGCTATGTAAAAAAGTGATTAAGGTTTTGAATGACACTACCACATACAAGGTAATCAGTAGGTACCCTACGGAAACCCTTAAATCTAGACTCAGGGGTTGCCTGCAGCATTGTATAACAAACGGGGAACTAGAGAAGTGGAAGATGAACACGTTTCTTCAACGAGATGCTAGGCCTCCGAATACATATGGTCAGCCCAAAAGACATAAAGATGGAGTACCACTTAGAATTACTGTGAATAATAAGGGAAGCGTGATGCATAAAACATCACGATTTATTTGTGACCAGTTAAAGCTAATCTCAGAGACGTGCAAGGTTTCAGTTAAGAATTCGTATTAATCCATTAACTTAGTCGGCGAGCAGGAGATAAAAAGTGGTTATTTGCGGGTAAGTTTTGATGCAGAGTCTATGTACACTAACATGCCTGTAGATGATGTCATACAGGCCCTGCAATCCACATTAGACAAGCATGCAGATATTTTAATGAGCACAAAGTTAGGTAAGGGGTCAATAATGATACTGACCAGCCTGGCGATATACTGTTCATATTTTACCTTTAATGGTAAACTGTACGAAAAACACGAGGTTTAGCTATGGAATCGTGTTTGTCACCAATTTCGGCAAATAATTACATGACTCAATTTGAGGAACGTTTAATTCAGGGAGCACTTTTGGTTCCTAAACTATTAGTTCGCTATATGGTCGACTACTTTGCTATTTGGCAATATAGCAAAGAAAACCTAAAGAATTTCTTTGGGTTGATGAACTGGATCGACGTGAATACGAAATTCACCATCGAGTTAGAAAAAAGAAGGTGATTACCTTTTACTGATGTCCTTGTTAGCAAGGAGGGGACCAGATTAGGGGGAGATGTGTATAGGAAACCCATAAATGCAAGTCTCCTTTTGAATTTCTTTTCCAACCACACTTATGGGGTTAAAGTAGGAGTTATAAGGTCTATGATAGTAGGGAGCCTGCGCCTGGCAGATGCTGAACATCGGGAGTAGGAACCGAGGAGTCTAAGGTGAATTCTGGTTGGGAATCATTATCCGGGAGGGCTGATTTACAATTAATTTATAATATTTTAAAAATCCGAGGGGGAAATAAATATTTGGGGCTAGATAAAAGGTTAGACCAGTCTACCAGAATCTTTATGTTGGAATTGTGTAATCTGTCGAAGAAGATAGATGAATTAGTGAGGAGGTGGAACATCAGGTTGATGTATAAAGGGGAAATAACACTGTCCTCGGTATTGCCTTCTTTTCGAGAACATTCTGACCCGCTCTCCAGATCGGGCTGTTGCAAGATTTTTTGTTCATATAGGAGGGACCTGTAGGCCCATACAAAAGACGTTCGAACAAAAAATAGCCTGCAAGAGTATGTGGGTCGAAAAATCGGAATTGGCTCGCACAGGACACCAGATGGAATGATCTAATGCTTAACGCTTAGTTCAATATGGCGACTATACCAACCAGTTAGCAAAAGATTAGGGAAATATGTGATATATTCAGCCAATTTCGTTTAAGGTGATGAAGGACTGGTAGAAGAAGAATTTTCCCACAATGATGTGGTTTGAGCTGACTTTTGGGAAGGCAAGGCTCTGTGAAATCCAATGGAAACTTCAGCTCAACTCATATGATTGTGGGAAAGTTCTTCTTCTACCAATTCTTCATCACCTTACACGAAATTTGGTGAATACATCTCATACTAATGATTTACTGGTAGTTACGAAAACAATAATTAATTCGAAAAATAAAAGATTAGGGAGGCGATATAAATCAACAAGGCAGCCAACACTGCGAATAGAAGCAATGATTGTGGGAAGTTTAGCGGAAACTACTTGTGGCTGTAGAATAAGTTTAGAGAGAGAGAGAGAGGTGGGTGGCGAACGAGAGGTACCATCGAGCATGGACACTTGATTAGGCTAGAATATGGTTTTGACTCTCACATCACACTCATTTCAAGAGCAATGCACGCATACAACACGTGTCCAATGGGACGCAATCACATGCGGTAGCGTTGCAGGCTCAAAAGCATGCGTGCTTTAGGGGAGGATGCAGCCACTCGGTTTCACGCTTCATCTGTAGCCACTTCACATGTCATCCGCAGCCACTTAACTTAACTAATGAGCAAGGCATAGCACATCCAACCAAGCCATGAGATGCATGAGTGGACCAAATTGGAATATATGACGGAAGTAAGCTTGAAGCCGACCATCTTTCTTGCCTTCGTGTTTTTGGTGAATTATCGTTAAGCATGCTGTCCTGCTCTGACGATGTCCGTCACATGACGGAGGAAAACTCAGCAAGGATTCGAAGGGGTCGCAGGGCGGTACGCCGAGAACCTCTTCGCACAAATCTACAACCACTGCTCCAAGGCAACCCCCCACAGCCTCCGGTGGAACCAACTTACGAATCCATTCCACTCGCCTCTCCAAACGAGATCATAAGGTTTTCCAAGATCAAATCTATGTGAGGCCTAATTATTTTATTTGCTAAATTTATAGTCTTCCTAGTCCAAAGCCTTGTCTAAGTAAAGATTTGCCAAAGCAAGTACAAGATGCCAGCAAAACTAAAGATTTATGCTTCTTAATTTTCATTTCCAACAGAAAATCGGAGCAGAATTTCTCTTTTATTACAAGTTGTTGTAGTGTTGATCATCTTCTGGCTCAATTTTCCTTTTCCAGTTCATATCAACTTCTCACCGACCTTGCCGGATGCTGAGAAATCATTCCTGTCTTACTCGGGGCAACCTATATGTCATCATTTTTTCACAATCAAGTATTTATCTCGAATGGGTTATCTTGTTCCTTTTCACTACCCAAATAGTCTTGCTATAATTCTCATACCTTACTCTAGCTGAACACTGCTCCATACATCTATAAATGCACTCAAGTCTCAACTTATGTGTAAATATATTTGAAATATATTTCTGTCTCAATTTTTTGTTTTCGATCTGTCCAAATACTAGTATTTCTGTCTCTAATTTCTATAATGGTCGCTACATTTGTATATGACCTTTTCATAGTCTATTTCTGATATCATTCTCGTCCTTTAATGTGGGGATTGCCTTTTTAGCCTTGTTTTTGTTGTCTTGCTGAGAGGGAGAGATAGCACGCTTATTTTTGTGCCTAACTCATTTCAGAGTTAACTTGTCTTACCCTTTAATCATGTGATTCCACAAGATTAGCGTTAGATGAATCTTGGTCCAAATGAAATTTCATCAGACCGGATAAAGGAAACAACAAATTTGCTGTAATTGAAGGTTTCGAAACCAAGATGGTTTGGAAGTTATTTGACCTTGCTTTCGCTACTTGGTCATATTAGCAGAGAGACCTAGAAGAACACACCTTGTCCGGAGTCAATAGTATGCATGATAATTTCCAGGTCGGACCATGGACTTGGTACATTCCTTGCTGTTGTCATGGTCTCCTTTTGTTGAATATACGTGATATGATCTCGTTTGCGCGACTTTATTGTATTGTTAAGGTTTACTCACGTTGCCGGCAAGCGTCCGGGAGTGTACCAAGTTCTCTTTTTCGACTCTGGAATCGGCAGAGGAATTCGGACGAGCTTTGCTCATCCAGACCCAATTGCGTAAACAAGGTCTAACCATTTTAATAGGACAGTTCTTTATTTTGGAAATTTAGTTATTGCCATATTCGTTATACCGTGATTTGAGCTAGAAATCGTGATTGAAGTTTGTATTACTCTTAATCGTTAAGCAATTATTTGCTTTAGCGGCAAAGTGTCCTGTACAAATGTGCATTCAGGACCTCTTCGATTCGAGCTATCGCTTCCAAACGGACAATCTGATGATGATGCTGGCTTTGCGCATTCAATTTAACTATAACTTAATCCTGGTCAAATTAATGCTTTCCGAGTAATTGCAGATTCCTCGTAATTTAACCCGGCCTTTCGGGTTGTTTTTTAATTATTTACTCTAAATTTTTCGGAGCAGTTTTGCTCAATAAGAAATCTTACAATAGTCGATTCGATAGCATATCTGAACCTTTACTTTATTGGATGTTTAGATAAAATGCATTGAATGTCTTTCCATTAGGTAGATCAGACTCGAATGAATGTCGACTTTTCTTTATAGATTGGGAATAATAACTAAGATGCATCATTGATTCATTGAGCCAATAATTAAGGATAATTTGCCATCTTTCTAACTTATATATCGTTTTTTAAGTATTGGCTCTTATTTTGTATCATAGACATTCTGTCAAGTGCAGAATGCGACTGAGATGAGTTAAGATGCCAAACCAAACTGTATAGTGCGCTTAATGCAGCAGTGTCTTGACACAACTTCCCAATCGCTGATGTCTCTCGAGAATTCACGATTGGTCTGGTTGCGCTTTTCAAGTACAAGAAGACAATCATGTTGACACCCGATAGCAAACTGGCATAACTTGCTATTTTCAACGGATACGACCCAGCATAGTCGATCAGATCGCATTTTAGTTACTCCGCTTGCTGGACACCGGCCAAAGGGCTCATAGGCGACGGCGTGGATACACGATTCACCAAAAGTACAAGTGACACTGCCATGACATCGTGAATTCACTGCTTTGGCACCCCTTCGTGGTGTATGCTGGCTTGTTTATGCGACGCCGAGTGTCTGGCTGGCTCATGTTCATGCTTTCTCGACGTGATTTGACGCTGGCCGGCGCCTAGTGACGCATTTCGCGCCAGATCAACTCAACTTTTCGTGCAGTTGCGTTAGGCGATTTTGCTCTTTTAACTGGATTTATTCCAATATTTCGCCATTTACGATATAAATTGCCTCTTGTGGGCACCGATGCTGCAGCGTCTTGGCCATGGGAGTAGATTATCTCTATTCTAGATGCCTCAACTTGTCAACTCTGGCAAACGGGCATAGGACAAGTAACCTGGCTGGAAGGCGAATGGATACGATCAAAGCGCCAAACCAACTGCAGACTTCCTCAGAGGTCAGCTGACAACTAGACAAGGAAAGTGTGATATAGACGAATGAGTCCTCAATACAGGTCCTTTACGGAAGTTGAGGCTGATCTCTCTTCCGTTCGGTTTGAGTAGGCTTAGAAACTACGCTTTTCACTCAAGATCTCGTTTCTGTCGAAGGTGCGCACGCAAGAAAACCATGAACTGAGCCTAACTGGAACGCTAGAGCTGTCAGGGAAGATAGCGATTCCGAGCTAGTCTGAGGATCCGCCAGTGTGCAGCATGCATTGCCATGGAAATTGCTCGCCCAATCTCGGCCGAAGCCGAGCAGTAGATTCCTGGCTCCTCTCACTCTATTAGACGTCGAGATAGTTTGCGGCCTCCCGATGGAGTGCTTGACTTGCATCCAACGATAGTGGCAGTTGATGATTACGATGATGATGGCGAAGAGCCGATATATCCTTACGGCAAGCACAAATGAAGTTCCAAATCACTTGTCGCAGAGGACGTTAATTTTTCTCAGACTCTGCAGAATGTTCTTCTCTTCATTTACATGGCATTGGCTTTCTCATTTCCAACTATTCTCATTTCTTAATATCTTTATTCACACAATCCGTTATTGGCTTGCGTTAGGCGCTCAATCAGCTTAATTTTTCTACCTACTTTTGTACAATCATATTTGTCTTCATGCTAACAACTCCATTTACCTCTTCGTGCATGTCTGACCTATGCACTTTTTAGAGCACTTGCTTTTTGCCATATGGGGCCAGAGCTTTACTTCAGCTTAACAATTTAATCATGCTTTATGTCTACCCTTTTTAGTTTATTTTTCGGGAATTAAGCTTTTCTTATTGTGACATGACTTTCCATTTCGAAGGAAAAGTAGGTGGAAATGAATTCGTGATGTGTTCTCGC